GGGTGTGGGAGTTGCCTGATGCATCTTAGACTGAATAGACACAGGTTTGGGGAGACATCGGAATAAAGTTAATTTGTGATGCGGGAAGCTGTACGATGGCCCTGGGGCATCCCCAGTGCATCTGCGTCTGGTTTCAGAGTACATTTAGACAGAAGTGAGGCAGTTTTGTTATCTGTGTCTTTTACCTTGTTCCATTCATCTTCCGGCATATTATTAGCTGCCTTCAGTCAAGGAAAGACCAGGCCTCTTGGGCACGAGTTTGCAGCATCAGAGTTCTGATGTGATTGAGAAAAACTGATACACATAAAAGCTGTTCATGGTTTAGAAGGCATGAACTGGAAACCCATGAACTGGAAAACAGCCAAGTGCATGTGTGGGCCTGTTGTGATCATGCACGGCCTGGCCTGAGGGCTGGGGTTCTGCTCTGGGGTCCTGGGCCTTGCCGCTGTAACCCTGCAGAATTTCTTCACTTGCCAAATGGGAAGATGTTGAGGTCAGGGCTTTGTCTGCTTTCGGTTAAAGAACTGCTAGATGAACATTGTCGAACATTGTCTTCCGTTCTAATTCTCCCCAAGGTGTCTTTGAGGGACGTGGGCTTCAGCCCAGAGGCCCGGCTGTGGCGTGTCATTCATGCTGTGAGGGAGTGGGTTAACACCCTGGCATCTGGGCGACGTCCACTAGCCTGCTAGCGGCACCTAGCTCTCGACTCCTCGTCGTTTTACTTTGGGAACCCGTGACAACTATTTTGCCCCTACACTCTTGGCTCTTGTTTGTTTTTTTAATTCCATCTGTCAAGAGCTCGACCCAGGAACTAGCTTGAGTTTTGTTTTGTTTTTTTTTAAAGCCTAGCACCCGTAGGACAAGGGGAATAAAACAAAAACAAATGACGGTGAAGCCCAGCACCCATAGGACAAGGGGAATAAAACAAAAACAAATGACGGTGAAGCCTAGCACCCATAGGACAAGGGGAATAAAACAAAAACAAATGACGGTGATGATGGCAGAAGTAACCCAAAGGTGCCGAGCGATTAGGGTTGAGGGTGGTAGGACAGTGGGGGACTAGAGAGCAGAGTAACGCTACCTAGTGGAGGGGCGTGTGTGTGTGCCGGATATGAGTACGACCAAGAGGATCTAGTGTTAGCACCCCTATGTGAGTATCCTTCATGAATATTTTCTCTTGTTCTTACAGAGTCTGTAGCCCATTCAAGCAAACTGCTGGGTTGGTGCCAAAGGCAGACAGATGGCTACACAGGGGTGAATGTGACAGATCTCACTATGTCTTGGAAAAGTGGCCTGGCCTTGTGTGCCATCATCCACAGATACCGCCCCGATCTGATGTAAGTCCTGCTGGAATGGTCTGTGTTCTTTTCTGTTCCCCAGGATCCCAGAGTCCTCTGCTCCCAAGTGGCCCAGTTTTATACAGGTTCCAGAGAGGAGGAGGCAGGTACCCAGTAAGACACTTTCTCTGGAACAAAGCCGTGGTTCATTTTGTGTAACACTCTTTAAACTCTGTGTGTCAGACCTGTGTCGTTACCTAGGACTTGTTCAAATGAAATGAACTGGATGTTGCAGAGCACACACTCTCACACGGTCAAGAACTGGGTTTAACACCCACCTGGGCCTGTGAACTCCACACGAAGGAAACTCTGTTTATTGGCCCGGGTTGAACTCTTCATTTGGGCCAGCTA